TTCCTCTAAAAGTTGATTATCAGAAAGCAAGCTTCTAAGGACAAATCAAGTGGGAGACAAATGGAAATTGAAGAAGCTCAAGAACCATAGCCTAATGTAATAACAGTTGGCACTAATTTAAAAAGAAATTTTTAAACAGGAATAGAACTATTCATGAACGATTTTTTTTTTTTGCATATATGGTAGAAATCATCTATAACATGAGAAATATGGAATCTCTCGTTGATGAGTTCTTCTTGATGGTTTCTGGAAAATCCATCAATTACCAAAATGCTATATCAGACTTTGAATCTAATTAATGACTCAGAGTCATGAGCACTAAGATTTAATCTATGTCTAATAATAAAGTATTAGCTTGATTAATCTTCCTCCTTATAGCAAGACTAGAAGGAGTAAGTAATTCTTTTAGAAAGAATACAAAATTTGAGATCTATAAACATTTAGCGAGACTTGTTGTTAAATGTTTTAATCATACTTATGTTAATGACTATGATCAAAATATTTTCTCAAGTAACTATGATTAGATCAACAATGATATTATTTACCATAACTACATAGTCTGATTATGAGATATGGCAAATAGATTTCAACAAAAATGTTTTTCTTAATAGACACCTTCTTAAAGAGGCATATATACCTTGAGGTTTTCTTAATCCAAGTTATCCAAACAAAATGTGTAAGCCTTAAGATCCATTTGTGGATATAAAGAAAACATCTCAAAGTTGGAATCATCATTCTAATATGGAAACATATAATATGTTTTATATCAAAATGAAGATAACATTTGTGTTTAAGAACTAGCGGGAGCAATAGTGATATTCCTAATCGTGTATGAATGAGACATACTTAATCATAAGAGATTACATTCCGACTATGCAAGGCTATTTCTCCTTGACTTGGAAAGTGCTTAGGAAAGACAAGATACATTTTTAGAATGTAGAATTTATAGAGATAGATAAATATGAATGTTAAAAGTTTTTAAATCTTTTTGAATATGTTAACGATATCTTGAAAGAGATCAAGATACAATATTCCTTTGGATGACTCTTTACATTGCCACATGACACCATTTTTAGTCTGCCTTAATAGGACCTAACACATATGTTTGAGCTAGATAAAATGATTTGTATTCTATTTGGTTGGCAAATGAATCCATAATTTATGATGTACTATGCACAATACAAGGTATACGATTATGCTATGAACATATAGTTAGATACCAATTGGATACTTGGGTAAGTCATTGGATGACTATAAGAAAATTCTAAGAGTAATTAAGAAGAACTAAGAGAATATTTATGAGATAATCAATTTAGAAGAATATCTTTATGTAAAGATCTACAGAAGATGCTAACTTCAAGAAAAGTATCTATAATTATGAATTATAATTGGATTATGATTTTATTATGAAATAAAGAGTAAGTTTTGTTGAAATGAGGTCCAAGTAAAACATAATAGCACAGTCTACTACAAAATCAGAATATACTAGTTCTTAAGAAGCTGAAATCAAATATGATTGGATGGATGAGTTCATTGATAAACTAAGTTGAGTCCTTATATTCAAGGATCACATCAAAATCTTTTGTGAGTTCAAGTGTGTACGTAATCAATCTAAGAGACTCTAATGCACATCGGAACCCCAATCATATTCTCCAAGATATTCAAATAAACTTAAAATAAAATTAAATAAGGAGATAATCATATTCGCAAAATTCACACATATTAAATTTAGTCGGACCCATTAATAAAGTCTTTCCTTCAAGCTAAGCATGAGTGGTCACACATCAACTATAAGACTTTATTATTCTAGAAATGAGTTTTGATTTGGATTTAGTATTTGGACATTAGAACATGAAAACAACTTATATTGTTTTTGATATATTGGGATATGATCTTCACATTAATACTTGTTGTGTTCTATATTAAGATGTTTAATCCATGAATAGTTAAATTATTCTTAAATTTCATAGTCGGTCATGATTGTGGGAGCAATTATGAAGTAAGACTAATATGAATTAGATTTGTTGACTCTCATTAGATGAAAATAGGAAATGGATTGTAACTAAGATTCATAGATACTTATAATAGAACTAGTATTGGACGAACCCGCATCAATATCATCTCATGGATCGCTATCATAAGTAATACTTGATAAGATTACTATCTTTGTATCCTTAATACCTAAGATACATAGTGGGACTTAAGTGTAGGGAGTTTTATGCTTTAATGTGGTTAAACGTTGTTCCTTATCTGAGAAGTTATAAAAACCATTATAAGGTGTGGTTTGAACTATGCAAGAGGCTTATGTAGTTAGGATATAATTTGTTCCTCTAATGTGTTGAGAGTAAGACATCTAACGTAAGCAACCCAAAGTTGAACACCAAATGAGATTGCTTGTGATCCTAGTCTCATGTTCAACATGATGTCTATGACAAAGGGATAACTGATAAACTTACCTTATACATCAATTACAACTTTGAGCTTCTAGGAATTGGAGCTCTCTCTCCATCTCTTCTTTCTTGCAACTTGGTGCTAGATTTGAAGGTTGATATGTTGCTTCTCTTTAAGGTTTATTTGGTATGAACTCTTAAGGCTTAAGAACAACATATATACAAGTGAAGACTAACATCTATGGTGGTTGACTCTTTCTTGGTGTATACTTCTAGAGAAACTCTCCTTTGAGTCTTTTGCCATCTTCATCAACTTCCAACCTCCCGAGAGGAATCAAAGTCTTTAAAGGTTGTAACATTTTTTCCTTCTATGGTTTTTTTAATCTTTTCATGCTTTGCAAAATGATCATTGGTGGATTAAAAGAATTTTATGTTTATTCTATTTTTTAAGTTTTCGTTGCTATTATTAGCGTTTTTAGGAAAACGATTTTAAATAATACCCAACATAATGTCCCTATAAATAGGTAGGAGGGCTCTACAAAAAGTTTCCTTGTATACTTGAAGAGTTGTATAGCAAAACATACTTGTTTCCCTTGTCAAAGTTGTTAGCCTTAGTTTAGTTTCTTGCCTGCTAGTTCATTAATACATCATAAGGAGTGAAGTTACCATGAGTTTGCCAGAAGTATGCTAAGTGGCACACATTGTTAACTAGTCGAAAGAGTCATCCCGTGACATGGGTTTCAAATAAATCTTCTCAAAAGTTATATTTATGGATTAGGTGTTTCATTTTTTGATGTAGATAAGTACGATTTGATCAACTGCAAGGTTGTGAAATTACTATGTATCTACCCTGGAATTCTTATTTGAGAGAGAGAGAGAGAGAGAGAGAGAGAGAGAGAGAGAGAGAGAGAGAGAGAGAGAGAGAGAGAGAGAGAGAGAGAGTATGTAAAGGAATCTTGGATGCAAATCAATTTATTATAAATTGAAGAAGTAATTGTCAACTTTGAAGGTGACAACTTTAGCTTTTGGAGGTAGATTTACACTTCCTTGGTAGTTTGAGCGTTTATTATTTTCCATGTTCAAGGCACCTATGATTTTGTTAATAGAACACGAGCAAATTAGAAGAAACTTCTTAAAGGGAAGGGAGTTGGTAATTGTAAAATAGCACGCCCTAATTGAAAAACGATAACGGTTCATAAGAAAATTGGCAGATTGGGTATTGATAGTTTTTTCCTATAAATCATACTCTTTTAGAGAAATAGAGACGACGACTTTGAACCAACCAAGGTTCTTTGGGTTAAGGTTATTCAAGCTATTCATCGTCCTTTTGGTCATTTTAAAAACTCTAATCAAAATAACCCTTCGAGTAACTCCTTGGATGAATTTTGTTAAAGCAGTAAAAAAATTGCCTGAGTACAAATTTAACATGAATGAGATCATGGTGAAATAAATTTGGTATATTCTGTGGATCAAACAGAATTTTGGATGATGCATGGATGGATTGGTTCGACTTCTTTATGTTGAAGATTTCCATGGTTGTTTGCTTTGGAAATTATAAAAAATTGGGATATTGATTAAATTATATCAGGAGGAGATTTGCATTGGCCATGGCGTAATGGTATAAGGTTGGGTCAGGCAGCGGAAGAGTTTATCTATTTACTAGTGACATTGGATGTGATTGTTCTTGACGATGTGGAAGATAAATGGCATTGTTAACTTTCTATACAGGTATTTTTCATATCTCTTCAGTTCGAAATTTTCTTGAGGTACAATTTCATTAGTGTAGACTAAATGGAGATCTTATGCCCCTATTAAAGTTAATATTATTTGTTGACATGTTGACATGGTAATTCTCAACACTATGTGGATTTTGAGGATGTATGGAACAAGATTATTTTTAAGTGACTCGGATGAGGACTGACTCGATCTTTTATTCGATTGCCGTTATTACTCTTTTGTTATTGGCGACTAGGTGTGTAGAAAGTTTAAAGTTTCTTGGTTGGACCGGATGAAAATTCCACATTTACTTTGATGCGTTTTTTTGCATGCTAGCTCTTGATTAATAAATGTGGATTGGTTTGTTGTTAAAAGACCTTGAAATATTCAAAAGAAAAACGGTGATCAAATTTACTACTTAATGATTTTGTAATCCAATCGCTTCTGTGGCCTAATGTGAAATCTTTGAATTTTCAGATTAAAAAAGTTATCATATAAATTATATTAATAAATGTGGATTGGTTTGTATCAGATTTTTACATGTTAGTTTTGTTATCATATAAATTATATTATTTCCATCGATCTTTAATTTGAAAAAGAAAGGTAAATAGGCTTTTAAGGAAATACGGATTCGATTTTATAAATTGAATGCTAATCATCTTAATTGGTATTTATAAATTTATTTCAGTTAATTATAAGTTTTTATGTGGTTTTTGGGAAGGGAAGGAAGTGTAAGAGGTAATCGTGATTGGTGGAATGAAAGTGAAAAGGGGTATTTGAATTGCGAGTAACAATGACATTGCACCCAATACCAAATATGTATTGATTGGCCTTCAAGGGAAATGCATACATGAGTAAAAATGCATAACCCTTGTCTAAGCAACCCAACCCAACACCCCACCCCATTCCATTCCCTTCTTAGCCACCTCTCTTGGTTTCACCAACCATCACCATTTCCTTTCTTTCCCTTTTTCCAATGGGGTGGTTTCAATCCCTCTTCTCTCCACTCAAGAAGCTATGGGTTAAACTCCACTCAGCTCATCATAAGAGTATGTTCTCATTCTTTCTTCTTTTTCTTTTCCCAATCTTATGCCATCTGTACATTAACGTATGATTTAGTATTAAAAGAAAATACCCAAATGTGGTAGTCAAGCTAAAATATCGGTTTTTATTTTGATGGTTACCAGCATTAGTATTTTCTTTCAGAAGACTCGTGAAATTTAGTGAAGGTTTTGACCCATGTCCATTCTGGTATCAGTCGTAATACATTGAACATGTTGATAAAAGACTTAAAATTTTAAACTTCAAATACTTTCAGGTAGAGGGATCTACATATTGTACGAGGATGTGAAGTCATGTCCCTATGAAGATGTGCACGTACTTTGGTCTATATTGGTGGAATCAACACATGGTCCTTCTCACGCTTTAGCATTACCTCCATTAAACTGATACATTATTCCTACAGATGATCCCCGAGCTTCTTGTCTTTGTACATAATCCCCCTCTTTTTTTGATCAAATCTTGTACCTGTTTCTGAGGTTTTCCAGGACTTGTACTTTGCAACTTTAAGTTATTACGCCGACATAACTATTTTATACAGAACGTTGCATTTCACTTGGTGTAGATATATATATGGAGGCCCTTTGCTACATTTAATTAGAACTGGCAAAATGAGATTCACATAACGTCCCATGAAGCGTTTGGCTCAATAATCCATCATTGTGACATTGGTGGTTTTTTTGGCAGTTTGTTGTTGGTTTGTCCATTTTGAATCAGTTTTTATTTCATTTTCACTGGTGCAGCAGGTGACTTTGTTAAAGTGTTATTTGCACAATTCTCATTGATTTTATATATATATATATATATATATATATATATATATATATATATATATATATATATATATATATATATATATATATATATATATATATAATTGTTGGAAAAATCGGCCTTGGTGGCCGATTAATCGACGATTAATCGTTTGACGACGTTGAACCGATTACGATGAGGGTGTTTGATGGAAATTGGTCAAACTCCGCTTGGTGGTCCTTGGCAGTCATAGGCGCAAAATATTTAAAAAATTCAAAATTTTTAATTTTCTAATATTACCCCAAAAATTTTAATTTTCAAATTTTTATGCTTTAAAAATTTAAGATATTATATTAAAATTTTCAAATTTTCAAAATTTTAAATATTTAAAGTTTTAATTACTTATTTTTTTTAGGATGTATATTAATTTTTTAAATAATTTTATTAATAATTTAGGGTCCAGATTAATTCCTGTCGAGTTTGATTAATCATATAACGTCAGTCGACCGCCGAACGAATTTCACAATAAGACCATCATATTATGTGAGCCACATCAGATGCAATCCTAATCATTCGATTTGAAGATAAAAAAAATATTTTTAAAATGTAAAATCAATCAAACTTTTCGAAAAAAAAATTACCGTTTTTTTCAAAAAATATGCGAAATATTCTAATAGAATATTATACTGTAAATATTCAAATTGAATTTTTAGAATGTTAGAATTTCCTAATATAATATTAAACTATAAATATTCAAAACATTCTAATAGAATATTAGAATATTCTAACAAATCTAACAATTGTAGTAAAATATTAGAATATTTTAACATATATATCAAGTTTAATGCAATATTAGAATATTCTAACATTCTAAAAGTTAAATTTGATTAACTACAGTGTAATATTATATTAGAATATTGTACTTATATTTTGAAAAAAAACGGTAATTATTTTTATTTAATTTCTTTATTTCTTTATTTTTATTTTTATTTTTTTGATAAATTAAATAACGTAAATAATATTTAAAAAAAGAATTTTTGGATTTTTCTTTTAATTTTGCATTTTACAATTTTTATTTTATTTATTTTCTTTTAGTTCGAACATTCTAAAAGTTCGAGTTTATTTATTTATTTATTTTCTTTTAGTCGATGTTGATGTTTATTAATAGAGGACAAAAAATTGAGATTTTTTGTATAATTAGTTCTTTTTGGATAAAAATGTACTTAAATATTGATAAAAAACAATAAAACGAAGTGGGTTTTTTTGAGAACCAAAAGATTTGTGAGAACTTGCAAACTCATAATCAGCTCATCACTTTTCACCACCAAAAACACCAATCTTCTCTAAATGGTGCATATAAGCCATATCTAGGCTCAAATTGTTTTTGATGAATGTGTTTATTCTCTTTTTGGTTTTTTTGTATGACTACTGATGAGCACAATTAGCAGTTGTACGGACTACAGATGAGCACAATCAACGGTCATATGGACTGCTGATAAGCACAATCAGTAGTCATATGGACTTCTAATTGCTCATCAGCAGTTCATATGCCTGCTGATTGTGCGCATACATAGTCCATATGACTGCTGATTGTGCTCATCAACAGTCCGTACAACTGCTAACTGTATATACATGCAAATTTCAAAAATTAAAAAAAAATTGTCAAAATTGTTTTTTTAGCCTATATATGGCTTAGACGCACCATTTGGAGAAGATTGATGTTTTTGGTGTTGAAAAATGATGAGTTGATTATGAGTTCGCAAGTTCTCACAAATCTATTGGTTCGCACACTAGCTCAGCCCTATATATATATATATATATATATATATATAGATATATATATATATATATATATATATATATATATATATATATATATATATATATATATATAATGGAATAAGTCAATGGGGGCAGGGAGTCATTGATGAGTTTTGAGCATAACAAACAATCATATGTGTGCATTCAATCCTAAATAATTTGATCTACGTTTTCTCTAATTGAACATACAAATTGAACAACAAAGTGGAAACCCTAGAACACTAGTATATAATCATAATACACAATTAGGGTTATGAAAAATCATACCTCAATTGTTATATAGTAATAACAATGAAAGCATGTGTTGTTAAAGCCTTGAGAGCAAGCGTCACAAATGTCACGCCTCTAATGGTTCATACCCAACACTAGCAATGGAAGAATGATTGAGAAAAAGGAGAGGCTTCACATTTTCGGCTGGTGCTTCAAAAGAAGAGATGGCCGAAATCCATAGGGTATATCCCTATTTATAGTGCAGTCAGGAAACCCTAGATGAGCCCAAATCCAAGATAATCTTAAAACGGGTAATTATCCACTTTCCTGTTTATCCTCCAAGGATAATTCTATACTTTCTTAGGCATGAAAAAATCATCCAATCCTTTAGGAAGAACCGTCCATAGCCTATGGCGGGTTCCAGATTGCATTTTGCTCAACTATTGAACAATTACAATTCAATCCCTACACTTTTAATTAATTATTTTAATCCTGAAATTAATTCTAATTAATTTATGATTAAATATTAATTAAATAATACTATTTCAAATTAATATATTATTCTCTTAATATATTAACAAATCATTTAATTTATTAATCAAATAATAAATTCAACCTCTTTCTCCAAAATCATCCTTCCCAGTTGCTAGTAGTGAGGGCAACCCAAAAGGACTGTATTACTATCAATTTAAGTATATACCAATTATAGTTATGGGGTCAGAAACCTAATCCAACAATCTCGCACTTGGATAAGTCTAATAACTATAGTTGGCAGAATATTCTTCCAAACAAATCAGCAAATTGTAGCTCTCAAAGTTGTTGTCGAACTCTGACCCAGTCAGTTACGTGTCCTAAGACACGTGAGCAAATATTCCTCCGTTATACAAGATATCATACAAACATGAGACATGGATTATAATCAATCTCATTGTCCAAGTTTTGTTTCCCGATTTCTGATTTATGACGACTGAGATCAGACTACTAATTGAACACATCAATTTAGTCCAGGCTTAGCCAAGCACTTTAGATTCCATCATCAAATCATCGAGGGGCCTACAAATATCTCTTTTCTCATTAGGGCCAAAGGAACCGATAAACTTAAACTTATATACAATACTTCTTATAAGATCAAGTTATTGATGCGTTTACGTATTATCAATACACAACTGACTCATCAACAACAACTCATATATCTCCGTTTCATGAATATAAGATATTAAATTCTCAAAATTACTTGTGATAAAATCTATAAAGTAATTCTACGAGTGTGGGTTAATCCAATACTCAAAATACCCATTTCCAAGTACTCATGAACATTGCAGCAAATAATTGCTATGTCTAATCCCTATAGATAATCTACAATTCTATTCATGACATTCCTAATTCGCTACTTACTTGCAAAAGTACGATCGACTATGGAGTTTTGAATAATCCAATTATTCGGGAAGTAAAACATGCAAAGTGAAACACAATAATAACCTAATTAACTATGGTATCAACCTATTAAATATATATAAAACTCTAATTATTTAATCACCAAATTAATTAGACTTTATTCATTGTATAATGTTTTGAGTAATCAACTAAAACACTTGAATTAAACATCAGTCATACCATGTTATAAACATGTATACTATGTCCCTCTATGGTCCTTCCTTTGTGAATAGATTGATACTTAATTTATAATTTCAAATTCTTGTTACTACTAAGTGTGTTAGAATTCAACCTCTCATGCAATATCGTTTTGTAATGTCAAGGCTTCAAAGTCACAAAGACTTTGCCAACGACATTAGAAAATGTTCCATTGAAACAACTCCATGGTAACGAAGTCTCAATTTCAAGGTACACACCTGGAACACCTTCCTTGCATTAAAGCTTCCAACTCGCATGCAAATTTTAATACACAACTCCTACTATGGAAACATTTCCATATCCCCATATTACAATATATTCTGGATAAGAGTCACCTCCACCCAGAATTATGTCACTATGGTATGTACGTTATAATGCTATACTTCCAATAGTCCATAAGCAACCAATCCTTTGGTATAACCTCAAAATGTTATTGACAGTTCTTCAGCTTTAGTCACACAAAGTTCTAGTCCTTTTCCCTCTCAATGCCCTGCGTATTTGGAAAAATCAAAACAAGTGAATATTATAGCATATATAATCAGTCCTATATCCGAAGCATATGCCACTTGACTCATAATGTCTTACATAGAGACCTGATACCAGTACAGTCTCTTGCTTATAATATTTCCATATATCGAATTTCATATGTTGATCCAATTCAACATGATATTCATATATGTCCAAGACTAAGTTCTTTTAAAACTTTTAATCTAAACTTTTAGATCTGAAACGAAGTATCAGTGCCCTCTCCCCTAAATCCTTTTATAGAGAAACAATTCCCAAACTTTGCAATTTGCAAATTTGAAATCTTTGTATCCTACAATTAGTATTGCCAAGTTACAACACTTAGCATAATAATTATGCTCCCACTAGCTTTGACATGTGCCTAAAAATCAATTGGACTTCTAGAAATCAATACTTTTGACTTCCTTACTAAATTGTCGATTTCTGATACGTGATGCTTCGATAAGTCTTCATTTAGACTTCTCAAGCTTATACACCTTCATTAAATAGCAAATGTGTGTGTTTAAACCCTTTCAGAACTTATAGCTATAAGTCCTGAACATTCAAACAATTCCTAGCCATTTCTCACAATTCGAACTATGAAAAGGGATGTCGTAATCATATTGCGAATTTCAGAATGCAATTATCACAAACACTGACCATTATGATATGTATCAAATCTTTAAAAAACTACTAGCGGAAGTG